TTCTTGGGTTTCACGGGACTTGGTTTTTTTTCTCAAAGTCTTTTATTACCCAGCAAAGTAATATTTGAAGAGTTGTCGCGTGGCCGGGTAATGAAACATTTGCAAGAAAAGAACCAAGCTCAGAGAACCCCAAGGACTCCACAGTTCAACCCTGAGCTACACATATTCACCTCTACTAGTCTGATAATTCTATGTAAAACATGGATATACTGTATACACAGTGAGATCCTACATAGTAAAAACATAGGCAGCCAAGAACTCCTATAAGCAAATTCAGATTTTGTGTATTCCATAGATTCACCAAGTTGGAAGGGACCATTACATTATCAAGTCTAATCCTACTCAGTGCATGAAACTACTCTGACAGATGGCTCTTAGTTATCATTTTGGGGAAACTGAATTGGGACTGAAGACTGGGAGAAAAGCTTCACCAAAAAGTTGTTTTAAAAGGGAAGGAGGAAGGAGGATATAATAGAAATATCATACTTCAAGCTGAACTGCAATGATTGTGCCAGAAACCTCTCTCTGTGAAACTTATGATCTTTCAATAGTTAAAAAAAAGAGCAGTAAAAAGTTCATACACATCACATTAGAAATAGATTACACAATTCCTTCACTTCTGTTGGACCCCCTAAGTACTATTGTAGTATCCCATTCCCCTGCATTTTTCTTGAACTCAGCCAAATCAGGCTTAACCATTCTTTGTCCTTTAAAAAAAAAAAAGAAAGCCTAAATCAAACAAGCTGCTTAAATTGGGGAGAGGAAGATGTTATTATTAGTCCTTTTGAGCATTCTAGTCTACTTTATCAAGTCATTCTTAATTTTTGTTCTAATATATTAAATGGGATTATAAAATGAATGATCTTTCCTATTAAACGTTAGCACCACTAAAACAGATGGCAAATTCAGATATTTCCAGTCACAGTTTCCAGCAAAATATAATAGCTTTTTAAAACACAAGCACTTTCCTCCCTGCGGGAGTTGACAGCTTGATGTATATTTTTAGTCTTAAAAGCTACACCTGCTAACTCAGTATGGCATCATGTCTTAGCTCATGTATTGTCCCTCCATTTCAATATTCTTTCTTCTTCCTGACTTGTTTTAACACCACTAAAACTGTCATTTTATTGTCACTATCTCCACAACTAGCCGTAGCTTATATTGTTCCGATGAAAGCTGTCTTCTACTATAAATGCCCAAAGGCATTTTTTGTTTTGTTTCGACTCATCTAATGCATAGCATATTTTGCACATACAATAAGTGTTCAGTTAAGTAGCATCCTCAGGCAGAAAAACAAATAAACAGATCACTCTAAATTGCCATTATGATAAAGGATTGTGACATTTTCTATAGATTAAAAAAAAAAAAGCCATGGCAGTAAGCAAGAAATGACAGGAATTTGTTATCTATATTTTTCAGGCTTCGGAAGTCTTTTGGAAAGGTGCTTCCAAAAATCCTGTTGTACATAATAAAGTTTGCAACCAAACACATTAGCCTGTTGATTTTGTCTGCAATGCCTTTTTGTGTTCTTGTTGTTGTATTTTAAAGAGTTTCTTACTCTTTACGTGGTTAGAACTTTGGTTATGTCCTGGTGCACCACAGGCAACTGGTATCTTTCAGGTTACAATTCCCACCATTCAGTGTCATTGGCCATGCTAGAAGACAGAGGCTAAAGAAGTACAGATTAATACAAATACAGGCTGCATTACTGGTCATGTTCATATGACACTATGCTAAAATGGCACCTTTTAAAATGGATTTAAAGAATCTGCAGAAAATATCATGATCATTTGAAACATTTTCTAATCATGGAGACTATTCCTGTACTTGTACTTTAGATAGGTATTTTTCTAGTTTGCCTGAGGTTATTTTTAATACCAATTATTCTATTCCTATTCTTTCATCTAAATAACCCATATGCAGGCAAATTTAAATTTCTTCCATGCAAACTTTTAAAAAAATATCTCCATTTTGTTGGTGTTTTTGGAGGCACTGTGTAACTGGTTTCAATCTCTTTGGGATTTAACAGATGTGGGTAGCCAGATGTCATTCTGTGGGGTTCAAATCCTCTACTGGAATTTAACTCACAAATTATCACATCTCAGATGACTATTTAGCGTTAGGAGTTATTCAGGTCCTGGTTCTCAATAGTTGCAAGAAGGAATATCTAGAAGCTATCAGAATATACAGTCCACCTTCCCTTAAGTTCTCAGAGCAGAGAGATACAGATTTACATTATGTCATGCCCTCTTGTATCCCACATACATGGGGGCATGACCTAATATCTATATCTCTGTGCTGAGAGCTTAAGGGAAGGTGGACTGTATATGCCATTTTGATAGTATCGTTTTTCTGGTGAAGATCTGATTAGGGAAAGATTAAATGTAAACAGACTTATTTTGATGCTGGGGGGTAAGCTATGGTTCTCTGTGGTTCACTCTTAGCAGAATCTGTGGGTAATTTTATTTTTCACAATTCTAGTTGTGGGCAATGGAGTTAGAAGACATCTAAGTTGGTTTCTTATCATCTGGAGAGCCTGAACCAAACTGCATCCTCTTTCTCATTTATGGTCTACTTGAGGTGTAATGTCAATGTGTTGCATAGACTATTTGTCTCTTCTTTCATAATTACAAATAAAAACTTGCTCTTCCAATTTTAAACAAAGCCAAATCATTTATCTAATTCCAAACTTTTATAATCCATTTATAATTCATGTACAATCGCTTTCTCTTACTGCTGGACTGAACGTAGAAAATAGCTCCCTTTGTATATATGAATCAAAAGCATATAATGAGGATTCTTGTGCCAAGAGACTTCAATCCATGCTTAATTTTGAAAACAAAAGTTTTAAACATACTTCAGTCTGAGTATAAATGTGCAGCCAGTGATATACAGTTATGTCTAATTAGTAGATTAAAATTATCCTTGTTATAAAGCATATCTATTTCTCAGCATCCGTTCATAGCAGAGTTGTCAAAACATCTGCATATTTATATATGCCATATAAACAAAGGAAAAGATATACTGCTATTAAAATTAACTGTAGTTCTTTCTCTTCTCTGACAGGCCCATCAGAACCCTTGAGGTATCATATATCTCCCCTTAATGAAGTGACAAAAATATTTGTCTTTATGGGAAATTGCACGAATTGCAAACATCTTTCCCATAGGATAAAAAGGGTTAGGGCACGCTCTGATATTGGCAGCACAGAAGCTCTCTCTGCTGGTTTTGGAACAATTGAAACATGTTTTTTTTAAAAAAAAACCTTCAGAAGTCTTTGAATCTATAACAATGACATATTAATAAAGTTGATAAAAAGAAGCAGTGCATGAAAATGTTGAAATGTTGATACCTTAATCAAGTGCTAATTAGGGGTAGCTGTATTGGTCTATTTCTGTCTATTCACCTTTACATGCATTTACATGCATTCATTAAACTGTCCCCATTTCTATTTAATTTCTGATTTTTTAGAAATTATGCATGAAATACATAATTAAATCTATACTCTGGCTTAGCATGGATTTAAATTCAGTTCCTTCACCCCACCCCCACCCCACCCCACACACATGCTTCTTATATATTTTGTCATAAATAGACAGTTTGTTAAGCATTTTGATATGTTTTTGAGGTGAAAATTCTATTATAACATTTGAAAAAAAGGGGGAAATGCAAAGCATAATTTAATTTCAGTCTGCACAACAGTCTGGAGGTGAAGATAAGGTCAGTCCTTATT